CATTAAACCGGCGGGTTAATTGGCAAGGTTGCAGGAGCTGGTTTCGGTCCAACATTTGGGATTTAGTTTTTTTGCACGTTGGAGTAGTTTCGTCTTGTGGAAGTCGTGACTCTACGTTGTCGTTTTCCACCTATAATCATAAAAAAATAAATAATGTACAAATTATATAAAACATTGAGAGGCAATTTTAATTGTTTGAAAAAAATAATCAAAGTAAACTTGCAAGTACATTTGGTATCATTCCGTCGGCGTTAAGGTCGGAAGGCAGTAACTGGGCACCTTATCACAATAAATTGTAATAGATTACTTTACAATTGAATATTATAATTTGGCAAACACATACCTGAGCTATAAATAATTTCATCGGAAGGCGTGGAAGTATTCCGGCCATTGCTTGCCCCATTACCATTAACTTCAATATTGGATTCTGAGTCTGGCGATTGAATCTGATTGCTGTCTTCTAGAAATAATTGATGTGATTCAAAAATAAGAAATCAAGGATACGTATACATATTTTTTCATAGATATGTATGCATGTATTTATATATTGATATTTAACTAAGCTGAATACCGTTTGTCGTCCCTGAATATGGTGCAAGGCATAACTTCGGAAAATCCCCCAGTTTTGACGACTTATCCTTGACTCCGTACGAGAATCTTTCAGGGGGTCTTGACACTCGCTTATGCTTCTGTGATGATTCTTCGTCAGATTCTGATGTGACGTCACTCTGCAGTTCATGTTTGGACAAATTTTTTGACGCCTCCTCACAAGTACCTTAAACAGAATAAAGTTTATAAACTTCAAATTTAAAATGCTAAATTAAGATGTTACAAATTTAATCTTACTATACGACTTTAAAATACGAGCTCGACAACGCTGCCAAGAGTCTTGTGGTGATTTGAGTGCTTTCACAAACGTATTTGGATTTCGTACAGGCGGCCAGTAAGATTCTCCGTTTGCTTCAATGTACCAAGACGCCGGAATTATTCCAATTGAGATTCCAGAGTCGTCATGAAATTCCAAAACCTGGAACATTTTTAGGATGTAGATGAACTATGGAGAAGTGGAAAACACACAAGTCCAAATGACTCATTACAAACTTGACACTTGCATAAAATTTCTGAGAAATCCAATTCTGACGCTTCTTCAGATAAATTTGGGAAAACATATATATTTAGAACACTAGAGTCAAATGGTTCTAAAAACAACGGCTGTTTTTGTTTTTGTTGGGCTACAAGTAAAATATATTCCTTTCGTAGCACATCGAAGCATATATTTTTCAAACTGCAGAGCACCAAAGACTTTGTTAAAAAGTAAGAGTCTCGTAACTTAACATTGCTAATAGTGCAAGCACCGAATTTTAATTCTTTATATTGCGATCCACAAACTTTATCTGATAAATATGGACCTACATCGTGCACCCTTGAGAACGGGAAAATAGGGTCAAAACTAATAGACTTTGCTTCAAGTACACTTCGCTCCTGTAATCTTCGAGCCACTTGAATTAATGGTCTCTTGAGAGTTCTTACCATTTTTTTAATTTTAAATAAGTGGTTTTCAAATTTAAACGCACTGTACGAATCTATTGGACCAAGTCTTTTGGAATCAGCTGCTAAATGTAATAAACAATGCACATTATAAGAAACTTGATCCTTTCCGTACATTTTTCCAAAGCCTTCCACAAAAAAGGATAATAATAATTCGGCGTAGTTATTGTATTTTAAATATGTTCTCGGGTTCAGTAATAACGACACTGCGACAAACAGGGATAAATATAATTTGTAGTCATCCGATGAAATTACGTCCCTAAGCACAACTGGACCAACATATAAGCAAAAATTGACGAAACTCCGTAGCTTTCCACCTTGGTAATTCAGTTAAACTTCGTGGCTTTCTCGAAAATTCGCGCACTACTTCGCTTGATTTCAAAATTAAGGAATCTGAGAGTCGTTTAATCTGTACGCCTGAGAGTTTATGGGCACCTGGCTTGTCATCAATCCACACATGTAATAACTTTTTTACTACTCCTAATGCAAGAAGATGCATGCATTCACAAGGAAATTGATCAACAAGATTTAAATCGGGAATCTCTTCTAGTATAGTAGTTCCGGTGTGATGTTCAAAATTGGTCTTCGCTCTAAAACTTGCATCTGTTCTCAACTGAGATTTATTGGATGAAAAGGTCATTCTATTATTTTTATAAACGCCTTCGTCCTGACATTTATCGCAGCCGAAATATCCAGTGTGTCCCTTACAGCATTTTATGCATGATTTTGCAGGAGCATCACATATAAAACTATGAATTTTTATTCGGGGGTTCCCCCCGGCAGTGCACTCTTCTCTTAGTTGATTAAATTCCCTTACAAATGGCTCCAGAAATATGTTAACGTCGCTCGGCTTTTTTATACCAGAATAAAGTCCAATTACAAACGGATATACGGACACATTCACAAAAAAGCCCAGGATTGGCCAAAACTGAAGGGAACTACTCTTAAATATTGGCAAACCATCAATATTAACTTGCAATTCCAAAGTATGATCAAGATTGTTATCTAAGGCGTCGATTTCTCGCCTCACTCCAAAATATAAAAATTCTCCTGGGGGAACTACAACAGGGAATATTTCTTGCGAAGTACGCAATATTGCCCCTGAGGCTGATGGAATTTTCTCAAAACAAGGATGCTGCTTTAAAATCTTCAATAAGGACGTGAACTGCTTCTGATTAACGCAAAATGCTAGTGACCCATCTTTTAGCTTCGAAATAAGATCAAAACTTCTAGACTCCTCAAAATCTACGTCTTCCTCCTCAGAATCTGAATAATTATTCAACGCGTCAGGAAGTGAGTCACAATCATATAACTCACTGTTAAAATCATAACTGTTTTCTACTGCATTATTAATAATTAGCCTGGTTGGAGGTTGCACATTTTCGCCAAAATTATTTACGACTTGGTCTACAAACAATAGATTTGTTTCCCGTCTTGCAATTTGTTGGAGCCTACGGGTTCCAATTACCACCTTCCGCATTTTGAGACTTACGTGATGGGTGGAGTAGAGGTTTTGGGAAAGGTGGGGTCACTTTAAATTAATTTCAAACTATTCGAACTTTTAATCCTTTAGAGACGGAACGAAGGAGATGAGTTTTGTCGCAGCAGTGAGATTGTACTGGTGAAATAAATGTATAGCCATGTGAGAGAGATGCTTTAAGAGTTTATTGCCGTTATGCTGCACTAGATGTCATCGGCCGAAAAATACATCCAAAGTACGTCCACACGAGGTCCACCAGATCTAAATGGTGGATGTCCTATGGATGTTTGAGAGATAAATAGATTTGAAAAAACAAAATATTTATATCTGCAAGATGTCCATTGGATATTGTGTAATGGATGATCCAGAACATCCACTCGTGGAGTAAAATTAGTTTGTCCATGGGATGTGGCATGTTACATGGGTAGGTGGATTTAGAATTAACTATTGACTGCACTTAGGTGGTTTTAGAGTTAGTCCGACGATATATCAAAATGTCCACAATATGTGATGCATGTATGGCGTAAAGTGAGGGAATTTACGTGCACAAATCACCATTCGTCAATCTGTGACGATATTTGTGACGAGCGTGTGATCATGGTTGAGAGGGGGTTCAAGCAGCCAAGCGGGCGACTATGAGATAGCAACGAGCTCTCCCTATTAAAATTCTTAAGTAATATAATTATTTAATTCATACCTTATTCGGAACTCTGGACAAAATGTGGATTAGTGTCGTCATTGGTTAGTGGGTGATAAAATTATAATAGAAATTGAGAATCTTCACCGTTTCCTGATAGGCATAAAATACACCATCAACCACGTCCTATACCATTTCTTTCAAAGGCTTTCCGAGTTTCGTCAACATGAAAACTTCCACTATTTATCAATGTATGTCGCACTGTTTCAGGTTAAGTGTCTGGATGGATATCTTTCCCCATCCAAATCAAATTTTCAGGCGCGTATCTATTCAAAACCAGTCGCACATTTCTAATAATGTCGTCCCCAGACCATAGATCGGATATTTTGCGTAGTCCGCATACTCCGTACTCCGGCCAGCCACGCGTACTCCGTACTCCGGCAAATCTCGCGAACTCCGGCAAGCCATGCGTACTCCGTACTCCGGAAAAATTCGCGTACTCCGGCCTCCGGAGGCCGGAGTACGTACTCCACGCCTGGAGTACTCCGATCTATGCCCCAGACACGTTGCAATTTTTAAATTATAGGATCATATATTGGTTGGTCAACCGATAATTCTTAATCTATGTTTTGCTAATTGCAGCACAGTCTAGCAAATTTTAATTGGGTCTGTCATCATGAATTTTAAATTTGTTCTTTTCGTGTCTTTTCGCACTTTGGTATCGGTAGTGGATTCAACGCGCACATTATGAGTTTGGCACTCCTGATATTGGACAAAATTAATCTGTTGTAAACATATGATGAAGAGGTATGCACACGTTGCTTCCATGTGTGGTTGGTTATTGCCACTTGCCTGGCCATGTTATCGGAAAATATTGTATTCATGTTCATATGCACGAATTTAATACACTCCAAATACACTCTTAGGCAACGGGTATTGAATTATCACGAATAATTACTGGACGGAGTACATAAGTATATGACTCTACTGGCATCGATAATATCAATCGTTACGACATAAATATTTATTTAGTAATGAGCTGGTAATGAAATCTGTACCACTCAGAATACAAACTACATATAACCAATCCGGTAAGGAATTCTGACCAAATCAATACCCGCACGGAGTATATATGTGACTCTACCAGAAGCTCCACAGTGTTCAGTTTAGCAAAATTTGAGGCGACGCAACTTGTTTAAAATATACTCGATAAAGATAAAATTTACCCAAGGTTTAGAGAAAATCATGAATGTAGGATAAATTTTAGCTTTAAAAATTTAAATTCTACACACACAACAAGTTGTTCTTTTTTAAAGTTTCAGGGTATATTTTATTGGAATTTATTTATTTCTGCAACGTTAAAAGAACAGCCATAAATAATTCATTAGCAACGATAAAATATTCCATATCAACCATAAAAAAAAGTACAAGGTTACAAAATATCATTGTAATTCTATTCTAAAATGTACAGGCATATTTATAACTTTTCCCGTGTATGAAATTGACGACAGTGTCTAGCCAATCCGTAAAATGTGGTGAACGTTTTTCCACAGAAATAACACGATTGATTTTTCCTATCAATCTCATGCTTTCGCTTGTGTTGGTCGAAATTACCTTTATAATCAGTTTTATACTCACAGGATCCACAAGAATAGCGAGGATCCTCACTTGATGTGTGTTGCGCATCGATATGAGTTCTCATACAACTTTTTTGTGAAAATTTCCTATTACAAAATTTGCATTGATAATTCCTGTCCTTTCCATGCACACTTTTGACATGACCTGACAAGCTTCTGGTGTAAAGAAATGTCTGGGGGCAAAGGTGACATGTAAATACTTCACGGCTGGTCGGATCTCGATGGGTTTTCTGGAATTTAATGAAAAAACAATCTAATTTTAGCTCATATTTATAAATTCATGTAGTCAGGAAAATGCCGGATGTTGAAAATGTTTTTTTACTGGCAGATCAATCAAAACAAACTCGCAATAATTACAGATTACAGTACATAAAACAAATTCAATATTGGAATTCAGAATGAAATTTTAAACACTTTCATATGTGACTATGTAGGACTATATTTGTGTTTAATAAGTAAACCAAATACGAAACCAGGAGTTATATGTTACTGATACAAACACACTTGGAAATTCAGGTCGCACATGAAAACGCTCAAAATGTCATGCTGAATCGGAACATCTAATCCAATTTAATTTTGATTTTAAAGTTGTAGCTTAAAAAAACTTTTTTTCAGTCTGCCCCAAAATCTTAATAAACGGTGAAGCCCACACAAATCTCATTAAGTTTTGGGGTCACTTTGAGACTTCATACCCCAAAAAGCCGGCCTAGCGTACCCCATAGAGTTTGAGATTTCGAAATAATATTACAACTCTATGCCGTACCCTGCACAATTACAGGCTGAAAATGATTTTTTTAATCAGTTACATACCTCATGTATTTTTCGGGCCCCACTTTGTACAAAACTTTTCTCACAGTGTGCACATTTATGTAGCTTCTCCGTCGTATGAGTGGAAATATGATGTTCCATGTGCTCCTTCCGTTTAAATTCTCTGCCGCAGAGTTGGCACGGAAATCGGGCCGCATTCGGGTCATGTTCCCGTTTAAAATGTGTCAGTACATTGTACTTGGCCAGGAATGATTTTCCGCATCCTGGAAAAGTGCATGGATGCCGGATACGCGACGTGCTATGAACAGCAGCATGGTTTCGTAAATCTGACGGTAGTACAAATTTCCGGTGACAAGTTTGACAAGAGTGCTTGCGTTTGCTGTGAACAAAACTCATATGGCAAATGAGGGTTAAACTATTTTTTAACGCTTTTCCGCAAATCTGCAAATAAATTGGAAAATTTGTTTCTATTTACTAGGTAGATATGTGTTTGAATGTATTTACAAGGCTTATCTATTAAGGGCTAGAAGCTCTTTATAAGATCGTTAGGTCTGTCCATCCGTCTGGATACATTCTGAGAAACCCGGTAACTAAGTTATTACCAGACGGAGTAACTATGTGACTCTACCGCATGGTAATTTATTTATTATTGAGTGGTAGACATTTAATTACCAAACCGGCAATAACCCCGGTAGCGAAGATATTACCAGTTGGTAACGAATTTTCTACCACACAATAATAAATTAATTGCCATGCGGTAGAGTCACATAGATACTCCGCCCGGTAATAACTTCCCTAGTAACCCGGTTTCGGAGAGTGCATACAGTGACAACTGGATATACTGCTTTCACCCCCTTGGTTACATAATATACAAGGATTTATTTACCACCAATTGTTCGTCTTACCCCGCATTTAACTTGAGCATTTGGATCATGTGTGACGACGTGTTTGGCCAGCCTGGACTTACAAGGGAAACTTTTTGGGCAGCTGGGACAGTCCCAACTTTTTCCAGGGGGCACCCTCGATTTCATCCCGCACTGAGCGTGTTACTGAAATTAACCTTCGTTAATTAGAAAGATAAGTGTTTATTGTTTTTCATATTCTCGCACAATATTTGTATTGTTTTATGTAAATAAACCGTCGCAAACGCGCATACGGAAGTAGCTTCAGACGTACTTCACCCCAAACGGTCCCACCACAACTCGGGAACACTTAATTTCACTCTATTTCACCTATAGATTAATTTTTTGTAAAAATCTCATTTTGCCCCGACCACACCCCCTGGCGACGAGGGGGTGTGGAACAACTCGGGAACACTTAATTTCACTCTATTTCACCTATAGATTAATTTTTTATAAAAATCTCATTTTGCCCTAACCACACCCCTGGCGCCTAGGGGGTGTGGCACAACTCCGGAACACATAATTTTACTCTATTTCACCTATAGATTAAATTGCACTAAAAATCTCATTTCGCCCCAACCACACCCCCTGGGGCCGAGGGGGTGTGGCACAATCGGGGAAGCACTTAATTTCACTTAATTTCACTTAATTTCATTTAATTTCACTCAATTTCACTTAATTTTACCCATAGAATAAATTGCACTAAAAATCTCATTTTGCCCCAACCACACCCCCTGGGGCCGAGGGGGTGTGGCACAATCGGGGAAGCACTTAATTTCACTTAATTTCACTTAATTTCATTTAATTTCACTCAATTTCACCTAATTTTACCCATAGATTAAATTGCACTAAAAATCTCATTTTGCCCCAACCACACCCCCTGGCGCCGAGGGGGTGTGGCACAACTCCGGAACACATAATTTTACTCTATTTCACCTATAGATTAAATTGTACTAAAAATCTCATTTTGCCCCGACCACACCCCCTGTCGCCAAAGGGGGTGTGGTCCGGTTGCCCCCAAAAGTTGATAGGATCCTCCCCCTGGGGTCCTATGTATGATGGCGAAAACCGATTTCGATTATCTCGATCCGTTCTCCTGATATCCTGCTGACAGACAGACGGACAGACAGACAGACAGACAGACAGACAGACAGACAGACAGACAGACAGACAGACAGACAGACAGACAGACAGACAGACAGACAGACAGACAGACAGACAGACAAAGTCTTCACATAAAGTAGCTGAAGCTACTTAATAAATTAGAAATTTACGGTGTAATAAGTAGTCTTAATTATCGTCAAAATTTGACTTTCAAATCTTGAGAAAAGTGCAAGGAACCTGTTCGTATGCTGGGTGAGTTGGAGACTGAACTGATTTTCACGGTATTATTTGACCTAAGATTCTGAGGCTCAGAAAGGCTCCCTGTCTCTTGGGGAACGTCCATATGTTACGTCATCATTTTAGCGTGTGTGTGGTTTAGGACTTCCTATCTTCCCCATGTTAAAATTCCCTATCCCTTAATGTATACGTTGGGTGGGTGGGTGCTAAAATGGAGAATTTTTGACGACATAATATATGGCTGGCCCTTTGAGCCAGATCCCATTGTTAGGCTACCCTTAAAGGATGCCTTGGAAAATGTAGCCTTTCAGAAACCTCTTTGGAGTGCAATTGGCGTACGGTACTTATGTGTTTATAACTATGGAACTTTCCGGAAAGGTGTGCATACAACATAATTCTGGGTCGTGAGAAAGGTTTTTGGTGAACCCAGTAGAATTGGGATTTGTACCCAATTTACATACGTACGTATGTATTTTACGAGGAGTGAAGCTCACCAAGGGGCCATACATATATTGCGTCATCAAAAATTTTCGATTTTATCACCCATCCACCCAGCGTATGTAAACATTATGTAAGGGATAGGGTGTTTTAACATGGGGTAGAAGGAGGACCTAAACCACTCACCAAACAAAATGATAACGTAATATATGGACGTTCCTTCAACCCTCCTTCCATACATATATGAGCTATCTGTGAAAGATGTGCTATTATATGTTGAATGATGCGAATGAAGGGTGACTGACTTATTGTCAGTATGAAAAAGAATGAACTTGACTAAAATCATTTATAAATTTATAAGTAAAATTCACTTTCACAGGCATGATTTTACACATATTTTTGTATTATATATGTATAAAGATGTGTTCTATTTCTACGAAGTTGGGTAACCATACGCACATTTGCCTGTTTGCGTATGTGTGACATGTTTTGAAGGCATTTATCATATCTTGGTATCCATAGTATTTTTCGTATCGTAACTTCCGATGCTTATGAGATTTTGTAAGGGTCGTGGAGGACTTTTTCTGATATGGACCCTTAAAACATTTGTACTTAAAATTTTAAAACTTTGAATTTTAGCACGTGAAGTAACTCAATACAATGCAGAAAATGCATGTTCTGCATAGAAATCCACACCTTTACAATAAGAAATACAAATTTTGCCATTTTACCATGCCTCGCTATGATCGAGGCATGATAATTAAGCACATTTCTGTATAAGTAAAGCGTTGAAAGCTACCCTTAAATAATTTAATTTCCTCGATCATATTTAGATACTTATTCGTGCGCTTCGTCCTGTTACACGGCTCAGCTAACCAAATACAAGTCTGATCACCGTGAGTAATACCAAGGATACAAAGAAATACCTACACTAATTAATTATTTGGACAAACTCCAAATATCCAACCTTACATAATTAGAAGTTTCTTCTCCGTAATACAGAACTAACTTAATTAGGGCAATTCCAACCGGAGCAAAATTGTCGTCATAAATTAGGTAAATATACGTAGCAAACAGTACAGAAATAATCTTAACTCCTAAATTCCTTGAAACAGTTAAGGCAGGTATTAAAACTACGCAGTCAATCAGTAGCAATCCGTAAGTTAAACGTCGAGTTATTAAAGCAAATACATATCATTTTGCTTAAGATATGCCAAATTTTTGTTCGAAACTTTCAACATTTATCAAATTCCAACAAAAAATTTGAAGAAATGGTGGTCACACCGCTTATGTGGTCGTCGCTTAGTCGATGTTCCAAATACTATAGGCACTTCTGGACCCAGCCATTCGATTGGGATCCGGAGAAAAACAAGTACATAGTGAATTCGAGATTGGCACAGTTGGTTTTTTATTTTATCTCGATGGTGGCCATTGGATCAATATCTGTCGTCAGTTTGACACTATTAATTGGAACTTCGATGGGCCTTGGAAAGCCCACATTTGTCGAAGTACTCGTAACCGTGTTAGCATTATTAGTTTCAACCATCACTATTGTGATGGAATTATTATTTGCAAATTATTCTGGCGAGATGCAACTTTACAGCAACTATATAATCTGGTTGGATAGTCGAATTCCACGGAAGCTCTCTACAACACTTTTAGAAATCCAGTATTAACAATTGGCGTTCATGTATGACTCGCATACGGTGATACATATTTATAAGAAACACCAGCATCACAGGCCACTATAATTTGAACGGGCATCTGAATAAGATGGGCCTAGTTGAATCTCCATATACTTATATATTGTCCGGCCTACAGGCAGGCCCCGATTTTGGGGGGGGCAAGCGGGGCAATTGCCCAGGGCGCCAAAAAGTCAGGGGCGCCGCGAGGCGCCCGAGCGTACACTAGATAAGATTGAGTGTCACCGTCCCCAGTTTAATCTTGAAATTAATCTTAAAATTAAGAATGAGTGGCGTACTTGGACCCCCTCGTGCCGGAAGAATTTGTGCAGATCCTAGTTTTTATTAATAACTTTGCATTTTCCACGGCTTTATGTCAGTCAATGAATCATAGCGTAGTAAGTTATGCAACATTGTGCTCGCTTTGACACATTTTTAGCCCGAGTCAGGGCTTATGAAATCGTTTTGTCTGTCTGTCCTCTGTCTCCAAGTTTGTGTATTTCTGTTCTACTAGTCAGATCGACTTGAAATTTGGCATGCGCTTAAAAAATGTCAATAGAGACATATTATGGGAAATGTGCCATTCCGCGTTGCATTGATTTCACCAAATTAAATATAAAAAATTGGAAGCAAGCATTAAAAAAGAAACCGGAAAAAATGAGAAAGCCAATTGGGTAACATAAGAATTAGATCCTAACTTGCATTTGAAATTTGAGTTGTCCCATGAATGCGAAGGTTCTCACTACTTCTCACGCATCAAAAGTTACAAAACTCGAAAATCTGCGGTACACAAATAATTAAAAATACTCATGGCTCCCGCACTTTTATTTCTGACAACCGGACGCCAGATTTTTTTCCTTGAGAAGAGATATAATTTCAGCGTCTGTTGTCCGCAGGAAAATTGTGGGTACCAGGAGGTTTTTGAGGTCAAGCGTTCTGAGGGACTGGCTTATACGGAATGTGCCCCAACAAAATGTAGCCAATTAGAAATAGAGAGGCGAAGTGATTCTTATGTGACCCTGACGCGCGATGGTGGTGGAACCCACCAGAATCCGAGTCTCTCTCTGCCTCTTGCTAAATATGGAAACACATTTCCCTCGATATTCCTCAACAGGGAGGCTAAATTCTAAGATGAGTGTCATTGGTTCAGTGGTTAACCCGTGGAGGTCATATTGGTGGGTGGGGTACTATGCACGTAATTTCTAAATAGTCATAGAGAGTTGAAATTTGGTATTGAAGTTAATAAAAGATATATTCGGAGAATATGAAACAAACTTCGAAAGAATTATGGCATCTACGATATTTACGACTAGTGGAAAAACATGAAGTGTAATTGAATTAAAATTAATCATTTATAATTCAACACATTGACTCGGGCTATATGAAGCTGCACTGCGGGTTAAAGTTAGTCTAATTAAGTCACGTCTTATTTCTATTATTAGCTCGCCCTGCGAAGCACGAGAGCTATTGAATTCCTCTTGTCCGTCCGTCCGTCTGTCTGTGTGTTAACGAGTTTTTTGCATCAATTGATGCGAATTAATAATCCCCTTGATCATTAGTGAATACATTAGGCTCACCATTGGTATCAAACAATCCGTGGCGAAAATGGTGCCAATTAATTGTGCAAATGGATCGAGAAAGGACTACAATTTTGGAATAGGTAGCACCGTTGGTACCGAACAATCTGTTATTTAAACTGATGCGAAACAATTGGGGGAATCGATGCGAACCGCACCAAAACTGCAGAATAACTGATGAAAATAGTAACAAAAATTTGACACT